TGCTGGACGCAGGGAGATGGCACTGCAGAGACAGAAGGGGGTTCCAAATGGGTTTAATGACAACTGAGCAGCGCTCCTTCGTGCTGCTGGGTTGGGGATGTCTCTGGAGAGCACTTCAGGAGAGCTTTGTTCTCAGTGAAAGACACCCAGCACGGAGGCCCATCTCTGGACTCCCCCACTTGCTCCCTGGATGCTGCCCGACACTCAGAGGGACCTGGATGAGGAAAACGGAACAGCAGCCACATGAGGACAGGTCTGCCTGGGTGAGCAATGCCTGCACGCAGGTGCCACTGCATTGCATGTGGCTCTGGGAGAACTCTTGGAGAGGAGGGTTTGGGCCTGAGCTGGAGGCCACGTTCTCTGAAAAATGAGCATCCAGCAGCTCACAGCGTTAGGATTGCACAGCTGTGCCTTCGTGATTCCTTCCTCCTTTCTTCATCCTGCCTTCAAGGTGTGACTTCGATACATGTGACCAACTGGAAATTGCAGTCACCATTCGGAAGGGCTGGTTCCTTCTCTCAGGCACTACATGGCCATCAGGACCAGGCACCGTGTCCAGCCGTGCGCTTTGCTCCAGCAGCACTGCTCCCACGGTGATGCTGCTGTGCCCAGGACATGGCGGTTCCAAGCACCCACTGCAGTTGCCCAGATCCCCTCTGTCCCTCTTGCACCCCTCTTTGTCCCCAGCTTGGCGCCAGCTGTCAGCGCAGGCCCAGCACAGCAAAGCCTGCAGCAAACACAGCACGGGCGCTCCCCAGCACAAGCCATCGCCGGGGCGGATTTGGCACCGAGTTAAGTCATAAAGGATAAATGTGCTTTATAGCCACATTCAGGATGTAGCTCTAATGGCTAAATAAAAACATACCCGAAGCCGTGGAAGCTGTCAGCCGAGGCCCAAGGGACTCGTGCTGTTGTACAAGCAGACTGAAACTGCTGCAAATCACTGCACAGAAGAAGGGGAAAGAGCTGAACTAAAGAATTGCAGAGAGAGGGGAACAAGTGGGAGGGGGCTGCTGAGGAGCAGCAGCGTGAATTTAAAGTCAGCAGTGAGGAGCCCTTGCATAAGTGCAGTTTGCTCCACATCCCTCTTTGTCCCCAGGTGGGCAGGGCAGGGGAGGATGGTGCCGGCTGTGCCGGGGGGGGGGTTGCCCCACCGGGGGGCCCGGGGGGGAGCAGCCTGGGGAAGGCAAGAGCTGGGCAGCTTGGGGTCCCTGTCCTGTGCTCTCCTTCTTGTCTGCACATTTCTTACTGAGGTCGATCCCTGTGTGGCCCCACAGTGCTGGGCATGTCCTGGGGGCTCAGCACCCATCCATGCTACGTGGCTGCTGCCCTTCACATGCCAGCACCCTCACCCACACCCCCAACCCCTTGTGTGCGTCATTCCCTGCCTCGCATGCCCAGGACAGAGGAAGCAAGTGAGGAGCTGCCAGCAGCCTCCATGCACCCAGAACATTTTCCTAATAACATCCAGATGGATCCACAGAAATTGTTCGCATCTCAGAAAGAAAAAACATACTTCAGCTGCAAGACAAATGAGCTTCAGATGCTTTAGGCAGGGCAGCCCAGAGGAGAAGCCCACTGCTGGCACACCCGAGAGGCAGCGGGTACATCTGAAATGCAACATGGAAACATGTGTGGATGGGGCTGCACAGCCCTGAGAGTGACTGCTGCCCTTCAGTTCTGCGTGGAGCTCCTTCCCCAGAAACAGCCCTGTGCCACTGCTCAGCTGTGGGCCCTGCAGCTCCCCATGCTGGGGAGGTCGGCTCTTACATCTGGATGCAGGTGCCCATGCTCCTTCCTAGCTCCATTTTTCCAAAGGGAGGAAATTGGGTTTGGAAAAAGGGAGAGGAGGCATTCTGCAGTGAAACTGTGGCTTTGGGGTGGTGGGGAGTGGTTTGGGCCCATCCCAAGCATTCCCACAGCTGCAGCTCGTGCCCTCGGTGCAGTCGGGCTCTGAGCGGGGTTGAGGGATGCTCTGTGCTGTGGGTGATGAATGCACAGCGGCCCCACTCCGGAAACGGGGCCGGGGAGGATATGAGAGACAGAGGATTCATATCCCGGAAACTCCGTAGTGTAATGGCTCGGGAATTCAGCATGATAAATGTATTTGTCTGCGCTGGTGCAGGCAATCTGCTTAATGTGGGAAGCAGTTTCCTGCAGCACCAAGTTAGCAGAGAAGGGAAAAGCCTGAGAGCCAGGAAGGGTCGAGGAGCAGGTAACTGCATTCCGAGGGACCGCCTCCGGGGCAGCGCCGAGTTGAGCTGCAGCTGCCTGGGGGCCCGGGGAGGGGGGTGGGCTGTGAGCAGCGTTCCCCATAGGCAGGACCTGACCAGGGAGCGGAGGTTAGCCGTCACCCAGAGCACCGGAACAATTTGCTGTGCGTGTTACAGACAGCCCAGCCTGTGCAAACCTACAGGGAGGCCACGGCTGTGCTTTGAGATGGAGGATTTGCTGGAGCTTTCTCAAGCTCTTGTGAGTTCCTCCACTCATCCTAATGTGACATTCACTATGGAAATTGCTAAACAATGGATGGACACAGTGTTTGATCCCTGGTCAGAGGGGCAGTGCGTTGGGGCACAATGCTGGGATGATGATGGGGACAACGCCGTGGCTCCAGCCCTCTCCCTGGCCGCCCAGTGTTGAGATGTGTGTGTCCTCCAGCAGGCTTTCCAAAATGCCAACCACAGGAAAGCTGCGGAAACCCAAGCTTTCCTTTTGCTTGGATTCCCATCAGTTCCCAGAGCTTAATAATAGATTATTTTAGGCTTCCTTGCTTCAGTTGTTTTGGCTTTTCAGGCTCAGTCTGAGTGCTGTCTCATGGGTAAAGCAGCCCGCTGGGTTGAAGGAAAAGGAAGGAGAATGAGCTTTGTGGGATGAGTGTTCCGCGTGTGATCCAAGGCTCCATCCCGGCTCGCAGGAGCCCAACCCCTCTTTCCCTGCCTGCTCCCCGCGGGGATGCGGCTCCTTGGCCGCGAGGGTTCCCCAGCGCATTACTCCTATTACACCGGATGGGCGCTGCTGGGAGGGGGGGCTCCCGGCAACCCGACACGAGAGATGGAAGGGAGGGGGCGATCAGATGCCCCCAGCGCTGCGCCATGGGACCGTGCGTCCCCGACGTGCCTTCCGCTCCGTTTGGGGTCCCGATGCGGACGCAGACATCGGCGCTTCGCATCCGCCCCGAGTTGGCGGAGCGGGACGGACCGGGCAGCCCCGCACAGCGCCTCTGCAGCGCCACCTGCTGGCGGCCGGCGGGAGGACACGGCGGGGGGAGCGCGGATGGCTGCGCTGCGTTCGGGGGATGCGCTGCTATCTTTTAAACCCGCCGGTGGAAGAGGGGCTTCCGAGGGACGGAGCCGATCGACGGAGCCGATCCGTGCCGTCTCTCCAGCAAAAGAGACCCTGGCTCTGGCTGGTGGAGAGCGGGCAGCGCCGGACCGCAATCCGGCCCTGCAGCCCGTCCCAGCCTTTACCTTTCATGGGCATTTCCGTGTAATCCACGGAGGGCGGATGGGAGCCGTTAGACCCAGATTTACATTCCTTCCTAACAGCTGGCAGCGCGTCAGGGAGTTGTTTATTTAATGTAAAGGTTGAGATTTAAAGGGGAAAAAGAAGCTGCAGCGCTCCTCGCGCAGTGGCGGCTGCGACTTTGGACGCTCCGCCGCCCGGTGCTGCAGCGGTGCAGAGCCCTGAGCCGAGCGCGCAGCCCCGCGCTGTGTGCCGCCCTTCTGCGGGCCGAGCGCTGGCACCGGCGCTGTCCCTTCACAGCCACACGCCTCCCGGGGAAGATCTTCGAGCAATCGTCTCATTAAGTCTTCCAAGTGTTGTTTTTCCGCTCACCTCTCACCCTGAGGACAAAGCTCTCCAAGCACAGCGTGGTTTCTCCGGGTTCCGCCATCCCTGCTTGCTCGTCTGTCTGAAGCCATCGCTGCGGCCTCCTCCGGGATTATTTTTCAGACAAAGTGTTGACGTTTTCCCCCAGTTGGGTGTCAAGTGTGTAGCAGAGGTGGTAATTTCCGAGTGCAGAAGTCTAATGAGAGGAATGCTCTGTGGTTAATGAGGTGTTGGGAGGCAGCACAGCTCAACCCGCAGTTACACTTTCCAACTTTCCAGTTTAATTAGAAACCCGGCTCTCCTGTGCATGCACTCGTTCCTTTCTCACTTGAATGCATCGCCTGCAGCACTTCCCAGTTTGGCACAGAGCCATTGGGATGGGGCAGCTGGCCGCGTCCTCCTGTCCCTGCCCTCCCTCTGCCTTATTGCTGGGCTTTTGGCACACACTCAGGCCTGCCCAGTGCTGCTAAGTACCAGTTTAAATGTCAGACTTAAACTCTTACGCACTGCCTTTAAGCAGTTATAAGTTTGTAGGAACGGTGAGAGTGCCGATTGCAGGGCCCAGCCCTGCCCCACACCCTGCACAGGGCCCCATGTGCCATTCCTGCGGCGTCTGAGCCCTGCCCCAGCCTCACACAGCACTGCTGCACTCACTGAGGTGTAAAGGGCACGCAGGCAGTTGTACCTGTGCGCTGCTTGTGATGGGGACACAGCAGACGGATCGTTGCTCGCTGGCCTTTTGTAATCGGGCTGTGTTTGACATGGGTTGCACAGGGTGTGCTTTGATGCACAGATCAGGCAGTGCTGCAGAACGGGCGCAGGTACAGTGCAGGAGCAGCACCCAGCCTGCCTGTGATGCAGGGTGTATCCTACAGCTGTGCTTTGCTTTTGAGGGGAAGGAGGGGAAGTTGCTTTTGCTGAGTAAACTTTTGCAAGCGTTACTTTCCCCTTTCTTTTTAATTAAAAAGTTTTAATTAATGTATACAGTAAAAGCATGCCTTCTGGCTGCTGTGGGTTGTAACTGAAAGCTGGGAAGTGATGTCTGTGGTCCCTCGAGCTCTGTGTGTGCTCACAGTGAGTACAGCAGGACACACCTGATGCTGCATCCCACCCGACCACCATGGGAAGCACTGCAGAGCGGTGCAGTGCTCCCAGCAAACGCACACTTCTGCAGTTCCCAAGGATTTATTATACAAAAATAAAGGTAAAATAAATGCAATTATTCATCTTTACTAATCAGAAGAGGAGCGCTTTTCACCACTGACCTAGAATTGTTATTTGAACAATGGAATGTTTAACACTGTTATGTTACTCTATGGACCAAACTGCCTTTTTCCCTTTGCTGTCCAATACGGGAAGCCAGGCCTGGCAGGAGGGGCTGTAGGGAAGGAAGCACTGAAAAGAGCACTCAGGAGCCGTGCAGCTCCGCCTTTGTGTCCCCAGCCCAGCTGTCATCCAGGAGGAATCTCACCGCATCCCTCAGCCACATGAACTGCAGCACTGCTGCTGCTCCTGTTCTGCTCCAGCATCTCCAGGACAGCGCCAGGGCATTTGGTGCCACGTGCACTTACAAAGGGATTGTGGAAGAGACAGATCTGCTTAATAAATAAATACAAATAACGGGGCAGATATTAGCATGAGGGACAGCAATATTCTAAGGAGGGTTGAGATGCTGAGGATTTGGAGCTTCTGGCTGGCTTAGTATGGTGAAGTTATCTGCAAGCTTTTTGCTCAGTAACACGAACAACGGCGCAGTTTGAAGTTGCTCGAAGGCGCTGTGGCAGCGACGTACTTGGATGGACAAATGGGATCACGGGGCACTGGGGGTGCTGGGTTCCAGCAGCAGCCGGGCTGGAAGCCACACATCCACAGTGCATGGCTGTCCTCAAGGCTCCTCGTCATCACTGCGAAGGGTCGTGCAGGGCTGAGCAGCTCGGGTCTGGTTTGGTTCAAGCCTTTACCTACGGCTCGGGGCTCTAACGCTTGGCTCTTCATTGGAACGCCAGGAAGGGGCAGCAGGGGTGGGCGGCCGGCGCCGTGGCGGGGTGCCTGTGAGCTGTGGGATGGGAGTCAGTCGGCCGACACTGGCAGCGGGAGGAAGAGGATCGCCTTCTGCCCATAATGAGTCCGCGGCCCCAGCTTGCTGTTCCCATTTTTCTTCAGCCCGACGAACCAGTTCTTGTCTGCGTGCTTCTTGGAGATGTATGTGTTGTAATGGTTCTCCTCGAGCCGCTCGAGGAACAAACACTCCTCGCCTGGTAGCTGCTGGAAAAGAGCCGCGGGGGCAGTGAGGGGGGTGCGTGGGGCAGGATGCAGCCGGGGGGCTGCTGCTCGCTCCCTGTGCCCACCACACACTGCAGCATGGGCCTGGCTCCTGCCTGGCTCCTGACTCACTGCAGTCCTGTGCCCATAGCCCAGGAGTGTGGGGAGCAAAGCAGCTCCTTGGTGAGGCCGAGAAGCCTACCAACAGGGATACGGGGTGTGCGCTTTGCTATCAATGGGTCTCAAAGACCTGGGTTATTTTTGGTGACTCTGTGTCCTGCAGCTCCTGGGCACCGGATCACAGAATCACAGAACCATTAAGGCTGGAAAAAACCTCTCGTATCCCCAACCCCAGCCCACCCCACCATGCCCACTGACCGTGTGCCCCATGCCACATCCCCACGTTCTGGAACAGCCTCAGGGATGGCAAATCCCTGCTCCCCGGGCTCCTGTGTGTGTGCTGCAGCTTACCGAGCCGTACAGGAGCCCGTTGGTGTCCATTGCCAGGTACTGCCCTGATGCTGTGCTCTTTATATAGACCTCGCCCACGTCTTCCGCACTGAGCTGGAGCTGAACTGTAAAAATAAAACGACAACAGTAACGTAAAAAGGAAAATAAGGAAATGGAAAAAGGGAAAGTGGTGAGAGATAATGGCCCAGGTGTTTCTGTTCTGAGTTATAAAGAGTTGAAGAGAAACAGCACAGAGGGTGATAAATACATCTCCTTGTGCCCTCCCCTTGAGAGAAACCCCACTGCCATGTTTGGGGAACCAAACACCAATTTTTGCCTATTTTAAATCAAAGAGAGGGCAGCCTTTTGGTTAAGATGCTGGAATGGAACACAGGAAATTGGGGTTTTAATTCTGACTATAATTTGCAAATTTCCTTTGTGGTTTTGACAAGACAGTTAAGGAGTGACGTGTGAAGAAGTTTTTAGGACAGACAGACCTCAGGTACTGGTACTGCAGGGCACCGTGCCTTGCTGCCTGGCAGGGTCTGTGCCCTGGGGAGCTGGGTCATACATCCAGGTGCTGGGTCCTCCTGTGAGCTGCAGAAGGGCAGCAGACAGAGGGAAGGCAGGGCAGACATTCTGCAGATGCCCATGAGCCTTGTTCTGTAAGGTTCCAGCCCATGGCACAGATTGGTGCAGTGGAACAGCCCTGGGGATGGCTCTCCAGCACTCAATGCCCAAGGAGCGAAGAACAAGTGGGTGCTTTAGCTCCAGCTCCTTCCTTCTTTTCTACATTTATTTACTCCTTAGTGGGGCACGGGGTATTGTTACCTCTTCCCTGTAAGGTAAGGCTGTTTTTGGAAAGGAGCATGAGCTTATTTCCTGCTCAAGGCTCCGAAATGCTCATGTAACATTTATTTTTCACTTCATGCTGAAAGCTCTGGATGCTGAGACCTGCAGTGAAGGACCAGGAATGGAATTAGTGCTGGGTGCAGTGGCCTAGGATGAGTGACTTTTTGTTTTCCCCTTATACATACCCTCCTTCATTCTGTGCCTAGCCCTTGACAAGGCGATATCAGATAAGAATAAGAACTTCCCTGGAGCAGTGGTGCCAGTGGCAGTGCATGGGCAGGACCCCAGAGTGCAGTGCTTCCAGAGGGGCAGCTCCCACTGGCACGCTGCCCTGTGCTGCTCTGTTCACTCTGTAAATATTTGCCTGCTCAGATATCCACGTTTACAGGATTGCTTGCAGGGGGTTCCTGGCTGGCAGGACTTCCCAGCACACAGCCTGGCTGGCAGCCAGCGAGAAGCAAGAGAGTCTGGGGGGGGGGGGGAGATGCTGGCTGCAGGGCTCGGGCTGGTGGGCTTGGGAGTGGGCTGGAGAGCCTGAGGAGGGGGACTGAGGGCTGTTCCCAGTGCTGCTGGGATGCTGCAAGGAGCAGGGAATGGTGTTTGTACCCAGAACTCTGCTGCTCATTGAAGCACGAGGAAAGGGTAAGCTTGGGGAGAAAGCCACATGGGTGCTTCTGGTTTAATGGGGAAAAAATAGCATTTTCCTAGAATATGTATGGCCAATTGGGCTCCTCCCAGGGCTGCTTCCTAACCAGATATGAGACCTGAATAGCTGCAGATCCCAGTTATATTCCAATAAGCACCCAGGATATGGAATAACAGGCTGTGCTGCTGAGCACCGTGAGCAGAGCAGGGCAGAATCCAGCCCCACAGCCTTGGGCTCCCACTTCCCAAATCCTCTTGAGCACTTGGGAAGAGCTTAAAGCTCCCGAACAGGGCTGTGAACTGTGTCATCAGTGTCACACAGCTGCTTTGTGCCTCATGCAGGAGGCTGCTAAGGAGGGCTCAGCCAGGGGAGCTGCTGGGGGCAAGGTGCTGCTGCGGGCAGGCCAGGCCAGCCTTGTTCTTGACTCTTTTGGACCTCTGCATCCTGAAGGAACTTAATTAACCACGCAGGGGAAAGGGAAGGTACTGAAGATGAGATGCTGCATGCAGAGCACACAGATACAACACAGTCAGCACATCAAGCTCCAGCCCCTGATTCATGTGTGAGAAGCACAGCCGTGCTGCCCAAGAGTCATAGAATCATAGAATCACCAAGGTTGGAAAAGACCTAAAAGATCACCCAGCCCAACCGTTCACCTATTCCCAATAGCTCCTACTAAACCATGTCCCTCAACACAACATCCAGTCTTTCCTTGAACACCACCAGGGTCGGTGACTCCACCACCTCCCTGGGCATCCATTCCAGTGCCTGACCACCCTTTCTGAAAAGTAATACTTCCTCATGTCCAGCCCGAATCTCCCCTGCTGTAGCTTGAAACCATTCCCCCTGGTCCTATCACTAATGACACGAGAGAAGAGGCCCCCCAGCTCACTACAACCTCCCTTCAGGAAGTTATAGAGAGTAATGAGCATCGCATGTGCAGTACCACTGCTGCAGGGCTGCAGCTCCTCCCCGATCTTCCAGCTGCCTGCTTGCCTGCATGCTGCAATTAACCCTCAATTACATCCCCTGCAATTAGCACCCTTTCTGTCTGCCCCTCCCGGCCGCACAGCCGCCTGCACACCTATGCCAGGTTGCTTCCTGCTGGTAAGGCTGACCAAGCAATGCAGGGCATGCAAACAAGCAGGAGAGCCAAGCAGCCTGGCCGGTCCTTACTGTGCTGGTCGCTCCGGTCCCGCGTCCCGTCCACCTTGCCGTCCGGCAGGATCCGTAGGAAGTGGCCCCCGTTGCTGCAGTACAGGAGTTTGGGCTTCTTGTAGTTGCCCAGCGGCAGCCCGAAGCGCTCGGTCAGGGCTGTGAAGGTGGTTATCTCCCCCTCGGCCATGGTTCAGGCTGCAGGAGATGGGAGACGTGAGCGGGGTGCTGAGCTGCCCGCAGTGCTGTGCTTATAGGGACAGGAGGGACGGGGCTGGGACAGGTGCTGCTCCCTGCAGTGGGAGGGCTGGGGTCGTCCTGCTGGCGGCAGGGATGCGGTCCCTCTAATTGTATCGCGGTGAATCCTGTTTTCTTTCTGCTTTCTATTGACGCACACGCTAAAATTATACACTGGAAAACACGTTTGGAAACCACCCAACGTCTGATTGGAACCCGCAGGAGGCAGCAGCCCTGGTTAATGGCTCTCACCATTATTATACCTTCCTGACGTGGCTGTGACAAGAATTGCAACACAGGCGGCACGCTGCAGAGCCAGCACTGCTTGGTGCTGCAGTGTTCACCTGGCCCAGGCACACAGTGCTGAGGATCAGAACACAGCTTAGATATTTTGGGAGATAACTGAGGGGGCCTTGAGGGGGAGATTTACACACATAGTGATCAACTGTGGAACTCTGAATCCATGTCATGGTTGTGCAGCCTTGCATCCCATCTGTGACAGAAAGCCAAGAGCCCGGCACAGAGACTGCACTTAAACCACCATGAAAACGCTGCCTCTCATAGGCTTATAGAGAAGTGGATTTATGAACAAAGATGGGGCACAGGGTAAATCTAGGAATGTCTAGAAGGTCAGAAAATGACTTAATGCTATTTATTCCCATAGCTCTGCTGTGGGACTACATAGTCACTATTTATATGTATTTAAAGATTGTGAAAACATCAGTCACGCACTGAGTTGTGTTACAGCTGCATCAGGATTGAGCTAGAGCCAGGTTGGTTCTTAGGAACAATTTTTCCTCCAAAGGTCAGTCAAGGGAGACCATTCCTCCAAGTGGATCCCCAAAGCATGCTGAAGATAAAAATACGTGAAAGTGCCAATTTTTGTTTTAAAGTTTTGATCACTAAGGACTGAAACCATGGAAATAAGACTTCACTGCTGTTGTTGAAAACATGCCCAGCCATTTCTCTAGTCAGTTCCCAGACTTCATCCCTTTCTTTCAGATAGGCCCCTGTAAGGTCTTGTAGCAGAAATGCTCAGTCACAGCTTGAAGCAGTGATGGAGCACCTGGTGGGGAGGCAGGGCCAACCTGGAGGAGCTCAGCTGCACGCAATGCACTGAGTGATGGAAGGGCACCCCTTCCCTGCCCTCATTTAAGGGTTGGCAGTGGAAGCAAAAGGGTCTTGCTGGAGATCCCTGCATACTGAGGTCTTCCAAAGGTAAGTAGATTTTTCCTTTATTTCTATGCACAAAGCTGTTAGACCTGGAGAAATGCTTGCTGCTCTGCTGACATTGCTGTGCTTTTTGTTGTATTACAGGTCTTTATCAGAACAGCATGAGATATCCAAGGGGAGTAAAGCAAAGAAGCATTCCCTTCCCCGAGGCTGAGCTCTGCCTGGTGGTGCCTCTGTCCCAGGAGCGATGCTGCAGGCAGGGCTGCGAGTCCTGCAGGATCCGAGGGCAGTCCTGCCATGCACTGCTTTAAACCTTTCCCTGCTCTGCAGAACTGTCCTCATTGTGTTTCTGACACGGTGTTGGCTGGAACAGTGCCCAGTGAGCAGCACTGCATCACAGATATGAGTTTCCCCAGCTGCTTCCTACCTGGCCCTGAGATCCAACTCCTGGCCATTCCTCCCCCACCGCCCATAGGCTTGAACCTGCTCCAGGCCTGTTTCAATCTGAAAGCACTAACCTTTCTCCAAGGGACCCGACCCAAGTTTTACAGTCACCTCCACTGGTTCATGCACTTGTGGTTCAGTTCCACACCAGCTCTGGGCTTTCCCTGGGCAGTAGCCTGCTTGTCACCCCATAAGCCAGACAGGCTGCAGTGCTTTGCTGAGCATTAATCGAGGCTGGTAGTGTTGTGCAGTTTACTGGAAGTTACTTTTTCCTTCAACACTTCTCAGAGGATGAAAGGCACCCGATGTCTCCTGGTGGCTGATGGAGGGAGCAGAGGAGCCCACCCTGCAGCCATGGGCTCTGCACAGGGTCCCAGCACCACGGCTGACGTGGGAGAGGTGCAGACTGTGGTGTGACCCTTCTTCACTTGCAGGTCTGCACAGCCAAGAGCATCTATGGATAGCTTTAGCAGAACAGCTCTGCTGGAAACATTGCCTTCACTTTCACATCTTTCCTTTAAGGGTTTTTCTTTTCCCTATTTTTAGGAGGCTCTCAATGCTCACCAGCTGCCTTTGACTCCACAAGAAAAGCTGAATGAACGCAATTTTCCACTCCCATTGTCTCTCCTGGCTAAATACTGCTGCTGTTCTCAGACTTTTATGACTGTGCAGCCGGTATTCCACGCACAGTACAGCTCCTGGCCCTGCTATTATACCTTTGGCAAGAAAACATTAGGTTTTTATGGAAATAAAAAAAAAAAGTGAGAGTGCAAGAGAGAACCTGAACCTAACACTAGGGGCCTTATTTTTTGGGGTAGAAGCCCAACAGAATGGCTGGGCTCCAAAACTTCTTGGCTATTGCACTGCACACGCAGTGCTTTCCTGTCCACCTCTTTTGTCCTCCCTGCTCCTTTCCCTTTTGACCCTTTCTGACCTCTTGGAATGGATCTGGTCTCTGTAGGTCACTATTCTGTATGTTGCATGAGAGGTCCCAAGGATCCCTGCAGTTACAACAGGTACAATATTCTAGAAGAACTTTAGCTCTGGCTTTCCTCTGTGCATGGCCCTGTGGATCCCTGAAGCCCTGGGGCTGATGGGTATGGCTTTAGGGAGCTGCTGGGGGGATCCCAGAACTGCTGGAACCTGCATAGGGAAAACTGCTTGGATAAAATGGGGATTTCATTCATTGCAAGTATTAGAGATTGACTCTGTGGGGTGGATTTCCTCACCCCAGAGTAAGAGACAGTGATGGATGCAGGCAAGATCAGAGCTTGGCAGAGGTTTTCCTTGTGCACAGGTGTCCTGGAGTGGTAGTTGGACTCAACAGACTTACAGGTCTTTTCCAACCCTCATAATTCTGTAATGCTATCCCTACTTTACCTACAGAGAAGAGGAGTCCTCTGGTATTTCATGCATGTCCTGGGGACAAAGGTGTGCTCATAGCCAAGTGTTCTGCTTGAGCCGCGTGAGATTTCTGTGCTTCTCCAGGCTGGGACTCAGTACAGCATCTCAGCAAAGCACTGGCACCCGTGGGGAGACAGGAAAACAAAGTGATGATCTGTTTTCTAATTGTCTGCCAGCCTCTCCAACCTCCTCGCCCACACCCTCCTGCAATCTGGTGATTAACTTAATTACAGCTGCAGCTCCTGGAGCTGGCCCAGCCTGGGAGGAGAGCAGTGCCAGGAGGGTCTCGCTTCCTGCAGCCTGCCTGGGCTCAGACCAGGAACATGGACCTGGCTGTAGATGCAGATCCCATTGTCTCATGTGTGGGATTTAGTTGTTAATCCCAATGCACGCCAGATGTGTGGGACCTGTTGTGTGGAAAGAATACTTTTGGTAGAGAAGAACAAGGGCTCAGTTTCTCCAGCAAAGGGTGAGGGGAGAGAAGTTTTGTACACAGCATCAAAGGAGGCAAGTATAATGGATGACACAGTGCTCTACTGTGGGTACGAGCAGTGCTGAGGGATGAAAGGAATCCTCTCCTAGCAGGTCCCTGTGGCTGAGCTACAGTGCTCACTTAACAACACCGGTGCTCAACGTTCTAAAGCACCTTTCACCTGCAGTGGTTTTTAGGAAGCCCCTGGAGCTGACAGCTGGGCTCTGTGCCCCTCTCCCTGCCGAGGGTCTGGGTGTGCTCTGCTTCCTGCAGAAAGCAGCAGAGGAGGCCTGCAGGGCTGCTGCTGAGCAGGACGGGTGGCGCAGGAGGGAGCGCAGTTGCAGCCCTGGTTGCTGGAGGTGAGGCTGGGTGATGCTGCCCAGCTCCCAAATGTCACCGCTCCCCCTGCCGCCCACTGCCGCTGTCCCTGCGAAATGTCAGACCGCAGAGCTGGGAGTGCTGAGGCTGTCTGGGCTCAGGTGTGGCTGCCCCATGGCTGCTGGCTCCGGCCCCGCACACCCACAGACAGACAGGAGGACAGACGGCGGTGCCAGCCCTGGGCAGGCTGCTCACAGCTTCCTTCTGCTGCTCTGTTTGCGCCGCTTTCCTCCAGCCCTTCTGCATCTTGCTCTCACATCCCAGCTCTGCCCAGAAAAGCCATTTGCCTGCTTCCAAATGACAGATTCTTGCCCCCCAGTCTTGCACTATGCTATGCTCTCATGCCAAGGGGTGATGTGGTTCTCCTGTTGTATCCTGTGGGCCCCACTCCCAAGCAACGCCTCCCTGATTCCAGGTAAGGGCCTGGTTGGTGCTCCCTCCATCACCCTGCTGTTGGCTGCCAGCCATGCCAAGCTCCCATCACCCACACGAGTCCGGAACATTGGCGTGCTGCTGCTAATGAGGCATGCTGCTTAAGTGAGGAGTGAACAGCAGGAATTTGCCTACGTTGTCAGAAGGGATGCTTCCTTCAGCCGCCCCTGTGAAGAGCGGCCCAGCTCAACCAAGGGTTGGCTCTGGCTTCAAAATAAGGATTTGAGTTTGGGTTCAGACTTGTGCTGCGTCCTTCACCAGAGAGGCAAAGGATGCCTGAAACAGAAGGTTTCACCTCCAGGCCAAGTGAAACTCCACATCCATACCCGTGGTTAACCATCAGTAGACACATCATCACTCAGAATTCAAGCCTCAGTCTGTGCTGTTCCAAGGAAAATCACTTGGTGTCTGGGTTCACCATAAGCTCAGCAGTGATTTACTGCCATAGAAATGCAAGGGGAGTTAATTATCTTCATTTCAAGCTCATTGTATGATGGCAATATAGCTTGTCAAGTTCTGAGGAAAAACTGCCTGGAAGAATTCTGCTCTGAGTTCTGCTGCTTAACGTCTTTAAGTGTAGCATCTAGTAGCTATGGGTGCCCAAGTAAACAGCCTGGGCTGTGTTTTGCTATGAAAGCTGTTGCTCAGTAACTTAATAGTGCAACAATTGCTTGAGATAATAATTGCTATTACTGGGAAAAATCCTCCAATAAATAATAATTTTCTTATCTGCATGACTTGAGAGCTGGAGAAATGCTGTACTGTTTGAAACCACAGTGCATGAGAACATGCAAGGAGTGTTCCAAGGGAAAGAGCCTTCTGCTCTGTTGGAGCAAGGCAAGATCAGAGCTGAAGCTTTATAAAAGGTGGTTGAAAAGATCTACAGAAAAACCCAAACAGATTAATTAATGGGGGATAATGAACCACTGCATTCAGCTGGTGAGCACGCACTTCCGTCTGTTTCCTGCTGCTGTAGAGCAAGATATGGGCATGGTGGGGATGGGTTAGCGGTTGGATTCAGATAATCTCAGAGGTCTATTCCAACCTGAATGACTCTATGGTATGTGCTTCCTTGGCATGCGGTCTTTGGGCAAAATTTTGGGGGCTCTCAGTTCAGAACAGCCCACTGGGTCCCCAGGTGTCCACGTGCCACCCTCATTTCCAGTCAGAGCAGCACAGCTGACACACGGGCTGTGCCAGCCCTTGGCAGAAGCTCCAGACAACAGCACATGAGGCGCCTGTGAATGGAAGAGCTGGACATCATTTTGTCCCCTCAAGACACCTGCATGGCTGATGACCGCAGCTCCAAGGAAAACAGCCCTGCCCCAGGGCTGCTGCTCTCCCTAGCACAGCGTGGAGACAGCTGGTGGTTTCTGACAGCCTGTCTGCCCTGTCTGATCCCTGCAAACGCCAGCAGCCGCCAACAACACAGCACAGGAGAGACAGCTGCAATTATAAACATCTGATGGATCTGAGTGCGTTGTGGAGCGCTGCCATCAGGTGCCACCCACGTGGGCTATTTGCAGCCTGGCACGGCTGGAAGGCCCTGGGACGTCTGTGAGTTGGTGGTGGCCTGGCTCTGGGACACCTGCATGGGGTGAGGGGGCACCATGGGGCCCTGCTGGCCCCCAGACACAACCCAGCACAGCAGTGGTGCTGGCAGAAGGTGGGGACATCCCAGATCTTTAAACCCACCGAACCCAGCCACAAAACCAAACCAGAACAAAAGCAGCATGAATCCTCCAGAAATTTAAAAATAATTTGTATGCAGCCTTCCCCTTTGAAACCTGCCTGGCCTGGGACATAAGCAATCCTGTATCTACAAAGCTTTGGGCACAGGAAAGGGCTCATCCAAGCAACGCCAGCCCCAAACCACCTGATGCTGCCCTGTGCCCACATGTAGCCCAAAGGCCGCAGCTCCCCAGCACGACAGCCACCACCCGCACAGCACTGACCCCGCAGCGCCCCTCTGCCCCCATCAACTCCGTTTAGAACTTAAATCTAAAGGGAGATGGGCGCCCCGATGGAGAACGACGTACCCATCGGAGCGCTCCCGTCTGCAAGGCGCGCTGCTGGGAGCGAAGAGCAGCGCAGAGCTCACCGGGCGCAGCGCAGACTGTGAGTCGTGGTGAAGATCTCCCCCTCCTGTCCGCCCGGAGCGCGGGGCCGGGAGCGAGGAGGGAAATGCTGGGCTGGGGGCTGCCCCGCGCTCAGCACAAGCACAGGAGGCGGCTGGGATTCGGGCTGCTGAGGGGCGCTGGGTCAGTGCTGGAGATCTGCGCTGTGCCAATGGCAGCTGAGGCAGAAAGAAGGGCACTGCAGGGACTCACCCAGAGGTGGGACCGTCGGCCTGCTAACGCCAGAGGCGTGGGAAGAAAAGTCCCAAGGTTAAGGCTGACGCCCAGATTTCTCCTCTCGGAGCACGGCTCTAAATTAAGAAGTGGGAACAAACGTTCTGAGCACAAGAAGGCTGTGAGTCACGCACGGCCCTGTGTCTAGACTGCTGTGGGCAAAGAGCAAACCTTAGGGAGGACAATACCACACCAGAATGAGTCTGAGGAGATCAATGGGGTGGGGATGTCACCCTCCAGGTCAGCCCTGCTCCTGCCACAGGCCTGGGGGCAAAATCTCTTTTCTGCCTCTTTTCTGATCCCCAGCCTTCCCAGGGTGCTGTGTCTCTTGCATTTTGGTTGCCATTTTATGGTTGGTTTGACCTGTGGCTGCTTGCTAGCAGCACCTCCCCACCTTGGGGAAGGGCTGAGCTAATGGGAAGGTGAGGAACATCCTGGGAGGAGCATTTCAAAGCGTTTCTGTGGCTTCTCCTGCCTGTGTTCTGCAGCAGAGCTGTGTGGTTGGGAAGGGCTTGTAGCTGTCTTTCTTGCTCTCTCCCTCTGTGTGATGGGATTCCTTTCGTGCCTCTCAGTTTTCCTGCTTTCTTCCATGACTGTGTGTGCCACCATGTGTCTGTAACAGGCAACTTTAATCCCCTCTGCTCCCCTCTTGCTTTATCTGTGCCCCTGCTGGCACTGCTCTGCTGGGTGCTCTTTCTCAGGGTGATTTCATTCCTCTTTGGGTGCCTCCATCTCATCCTGGGGAGGGCTCAGACCCGGCCAGTTTGGGAAAGAAGAAATAGGACAGAGAGGGGCTATGCTGAATGCCCAGGTCTGAAAACCCAGACAATTATCAGCTTTTTTCTGCCCATTTGAGCAGCTGAGGAATCAAACCATTTTGTTATACGGGCTTTAGGAAAGAGGAAGCCTGCTGCTAACCCTGCAGGCAGTGCCCATGGCCTGCAGCCATCCTGCTGTCCTGCACCAAGGCACTGATCTGCAGGGCTGCAGGATCTGCTGCTCTCTGTCCAACATTAACAGAGGGGACACTGATATTGGATGCAAGGTAAAAAAATACAGACTGCTCTTACTGAGGAATACTGAGTCAGGCTGCTCTCTTGTTTAATGAGGAGAGAGGAAGAGCGGATTATTGCATTCATTCAGGCCATGCTGCACTCTGGGGCAGAGATAACAAAGCAGCAGTGCCTCTCTCTCTTGCTGAACTTGTTTTCAGCAAATTCTTCTGCAAACAGATTTCTATTGTGAGTGGCTTAAAAAGCAGAGCCAGCCAGGCCTCCAGCACAGGCGATAATCAATGGCGTGCAGTTGCACAAAATGAATGTGGGATTTCTAAGGCTGCCCCAGCCATGAGCGTTAGCAGCCCTTGTGCTGTGCCAGAGGGCAGTGCCAGCTGTGCCCGTCCTCCCTGCACCCTCTGGCAGGTGCTGCAGGGCACAACACAGGTGCTTGCGTGCCCTGTACCCAGGGCTAAGCTGGGGTTTCTCTGTCTGTCCATCAGAGCCCCAGGACAAACAGCCCTCAGTGCATTTTGGGTTCAGTGTGCTCCTGTGAAGGAGCTGCGATCTGCAGATGGAAGGAAATCCTCATGCTTCCAGCTCTGCAGGTCTGCCAGAAAGCTCAGGCACTGCTGGCATCTTGCTTGTGAAACACAGCCAAAGCTTTATCCAGTCCTCTTGAGTTGCGGGATGGTGGTGGTCTGACCTGTGGCTAAGGACCATCTTTTGGGTTGATCTGTGGTAGAGGCCATCTGTCTCCACTGTCCTTTGCAACCTCTTATTTCTGAGCTCACATTCTTGAGAGGTGTCTATTCATCTCATCTAAAATGCTGCCATTTTGGGGGTCATGAAATTAAAGACGATTAAAGGGGGTTGTTTAATGCAGGAGGCATTACTGCAGTGGAGCTCCTGGGGTTGTAGAGAGGAAGGAGGAGCTGGAATGAGGCAGGGGTCACTGTGCACCGTGACAGCTTTGCACTGGTGATGGTGGCTGCTGCTGCAATGGGAGGTGGCACCAGGCACGTGGGAAGGGTCTGAGGAGCACACAGCCCTGCTGAGGCACAGCCCAGGGAACACGAGGTGGGGACTGACATCAGCACCCACCAACAGCTATTGCCCCACTGCAGCAAAAGTTGGTGGTGATCTCCTCATTGAAAAGTTGCAATTTTCTCTAATGAATCCCCTAAAGCAAGGCTTATTTCCTGCAGAAATGTGCCTGCTTGTGGTTCTGCATTGCAATGTCTCTTGAAAATCCTTTTTCCTTTCTCCTTCCACATATTGTCATGCAGCTATGGACTTCTTGAGAAACAAATGAAAGCATTTGCCACTTGGTTACCCAACCACGGCGCCAAGGGCCTCACGCAGCCCTAGGAGCTGCTGGAAATGGAGCTGAAAGGGGATTGCTTCCTGCAGGAAGCCAGAACATTGCTTCTGCCACAAGCTCTGGAACTTTCCCCGTGTTGGGTGCATGCACTGTGTGCATAGGAGTGGAAAATGCAGGTGTGCATCGGAGAAATGACTGCTCCAGGTGAGCCATGCTCTGCGTCACAGCTCTTCCAGGAGGAAAATCCCCATCTTTCTTACTGAGGAAAGAAAAGGGCCTTTCTAATGGCTAAGCTCGTTCATTTATTATTATTATTATTATTATTTAATTTCTGACTTGGCATCAGAAGAGAAAGCAAACATTCAAGAGGATCAGATTTTGATCTGCTCTATGAATGCAGCATCAGAAGTACATTGAAACAAGAGGACACAGACTGAGATGAACCTGCGGGGGCTGCTATCCCAACGGCTGGCGCTGTGAGCTGTAAGTGCTGCCCACCACCACACCAGAGAACCTCAATACAAAGCAAATACACCCCCAGCTCTGATCACCCTGCCTGGGCGCATCGGGTGCCATGCACCTCCTTCATGCTCCCCCCTTTTCTGCTCCCCGCTATGTTTGTGAGCATTTTAGCTTGCTCATGCCAGTTGGCACAGAGGAAAATTCATACAAAGCAAGCAGAGGGAGAGCTGAGCACCAGCACTGCTGCAGTGGGGGATGCAGCCCCGGGGCTGGGAAAGCAGTGGCAGCAGCAGAGCCGCATCGCTGCTGGGGAAAAAGCACCGCTGTGGCCAGCTGCGTGATGAGCTGCTGGGGTGGTGGGAAGATCGAGGTCTTGGGAGTGGGAGGAAGGCCAGAGTCATTCGGGGAGCTTGGGAGGGGGAGGCTCTCCCCTGGGCGGGGTGGAGCTGGAAGGGGAGGTTATCCAAAGGGCTGGGGCTGGCTGAGGCCTCCCTGGACCCGACCTGCAGTCTGTTCTGCACACTGAGCAGCGCTGTGCTGACCCCGTTTTGCAGGGAGAACACTCAGGCATTGTCCTGCTTATCAGCGCCAAGCCAAGCGCTGCAATTGGGAACCAATTAAAGTCCAGACTCTTGTTTGTGTGTGCAGAGCTTCCCTGCAGCTCAGGCGATTGCTGCTGGGTCACCAGAGGCCTGGGTCCCACTGCCACCATCACCGTGTCACCAACAGCACGTGGGGCAATGGGACCTGGGGCTCTGCCCAGGACATTTCTATTAAGGAAATTATCATTAATAATTTTTTTTCCTAGTTTTTTTTTTTTTTTTTTAAACCATTTTCTAACACCACATTGCTTAAACAAACTTCCTATTGGGATGGTCCTAATATTAGGTTTTGCAAAATAAAACGTTTTAAAAATTTGGATTCAAATTCAGAGACAAATTTCTAGCCACAGCTTCCAGCTAATTTGCAGTCATCTTGAAACTTGTGAAACTCACATTGTTTCGAACCCCTCCATGCTCCCATCGTTGGCAGCAGCCCAACGATACCTGCAAGGTTTGGGGGGTTTTGGCCCATTTAGGTGAGGAAATAGCACATCCAAAATCCTAATGTCTCTGCAGAAGGAACCTGCCCCCTCTTCCCCCCTGCTGGTCCATGTGTGCCCTCGTGGATCTCCCTCAGGCCCTGCTCCGGTCCCCACATCCCCCCC